ATTACTATAAATGGATCAGTCCGTTCATAATACTAAGTAGGGCAGCTCTTAACACAAATTTCTTTGTGGCTATTTACACTATTTACATCTTTCGAATTTTTGTCCTCATCTTTATTGCAATATTCACAACGTTTCAGCCGTTGCACGCACTGACCTTCTTCAAGTGATAATATGTTGGAATTTCGAGCCGAACCCCTTTATTTAGTAAATAGGGATAGAGTGTTCTAATTCCTCATGTCATACCTTTTTTGGATATCTCAATTTCAGTTAATTCCCTTTAGTAACTCAACTCCCCAAATTTTTGTTCCCTCTGCTGTGGTCAGGTATTGAACTCAAAACTCTTTGGGTCAAGTCACTTTTTGGATTACTCAACCAACACTTTTATCCACTGGGCCATATATCCTTGGCAGAGGAAACAAAAACTGTTAACTGAAACAGATATCCACAAAAAGGCATGGTATGTGGAATTAGAACAATCTACCCCCATGGACTAAATAAAGGGTTTGATTTGAAATTGCAACATATATCACCTGAAGAAGGTCAGAGCGTGCAACGGCTGAAACGTTGAGAATATGGCAATAAAGAGAGGACAACATTCTGAACAATGTAAATAGTCATCTCAGAAATATAGTCAAATGTTTCTTTGTGATTATTTAATATTAATAACAACACTAATATTTTTTTATCTTTTCACCTCAAGCAAGGCGACAAAGCCACTAATTTACAAGGGAACTGAAAGATAATGAGAAGTCTTTTGTGAGGAGAAAGATTAATAAAAGAACAGACGTCAGGAAGATAGAGGTTGCCAGTTGATGCTGCATTTCAGTTTCTCAAGGATTGCAGGGAAGGAGGAAATTGGAAGAGAAATCTTTAGGTGAAAAAGTTTTTTATTGTTTTTAATCACTATCACCCCATGTAAGGTAGTAAAGCCATTAAGACACAAAGGGTTACAGGATGTAGAAGGATTAAGAATAGGAATATTAATAATGAGCAGGAAGAGAAAAGCATAATCAGAAGGACAGTAGATTAAGATTGGTTGGAGCTGGAAGGTAATTTGACAAGTGAGAAGTACAAGAAAAGAAACAGTCAGTATAGAATTTCCAGCTACATCTAACCAGCTCAACTGTAAATTGATGAGATCTCAACACCAGTCTAGTGCCGTGCTTATATTAAAAAAAAATCTAGGTACCAGAGTGAAGAGTGATATTTATTTCTGCTATGTACTGAAAATATGGCACAAGGCCAGAATGGGACATGGGGAAAAGGATGGTCTTCATCTGTCTTAATATTAAACTTAGGTAACCACAAACACTGACCCAAACATACCACAATATTCCTAACGCCAAAACAACACATTTTTACTTATCTTTCTTACTATATCCACCATAATATCTCATTGTCTTTATGAAAGTTCTAGCTAGTCCCCATATATATAATTCATTGTCTATAGGAGGGAATAAAACAACAATTTAAAAACTAGCCCCAGTGTGTATTTACAAAATGAAAACAAAAACTATTTACAAGAAACTAAACAAAATAATATAGGTAATTGTTATATTCCATGCTAAGGGTAGAAATACTTAATACCAGGTGGATAATAGAAGTGTAAGCGTTCTGAAAGCAAAGGAAATATTTGTTGCAGATTAATTCCACAATGCAGAGAACAAATCATTGTAAGTTCAGACTCGAATATCAGGGGCAGAAAGAAATGCTGAAAACTTGATTCGTGGGTACTATCTCACAAATCCTAATGCACGTAACCAGTCAGAAAAATAACTCACTCGCCGATGAATGCGGTAGTCAAAATACACCAATTTTTCTCCCCGATTTGAGAACTCCAACTGCTTTTATTGGCCAAGCATTTTTTCCATTCGTCAACAACTGGGAGAGGATGCCAAGTATTTTGCATAACAAAATACTTTTATAGAGACTCCTGTGACGGACTTGTTTTTAATCTAAATCTTCCATCCATTGCACTTTTTTTGGTAAGTAATTTTCTTTTCCATCGCAGGATATATGCAATGGGCTGTCGCTTGGTTAGACAAGGTAAGTTGCCGTTTTCTTCGCTATAAAAAGAAAGGTTTATTGTACACAACCAGTACAATATGAAATACGGTGCAGTTATACACACAGATCAATCTAGTAGTGAGTGCCATGAATTGGAAGGTCGGACATGCTTGCATCTTCTCTATCACTCTTCCTGAAGTCTCTCATAGACAGTTGACTTTATAGGTACTTACTGCCTATAGTGTAATCATTCATGGGGGTGACTAGTTATTCCATCACATCAGTAATAAAACTCCTCACAATCTTTAAATACAACAGAAACAGTTAACTGGACGAAATTAATGTGAGACTAATAATATAAAACATTCATTCATTCCAAGCACTCAAACACACACTTATTCAAACACAATAACAAAAAGAAAAATCACACCCCAAATGTACTACAGTGAAGAACAATTACCATGAAAGTATTTATAGAAAGGGTGTAGAGAGTCAATTCTATGCTGGTGGGAAAGTCACTGAATTCAAGCTGCCAGATCAGGACCAAAAATATTGCTGATTCTTCTTTGGGTTTTATCAAGGTGCTCAAGGTAAATAGCAGAGGTACTGAACCAAATGTGCCAGCAATATTCTAAGCATGCATGAATGGTAAACTTTTAGATATGTAAGATAGATTCTGGAGAGAAAATTTGTTTAGCATAACACAGTGAACCAACTTTCTTAACAGCTGACCTAGCAATGGATTCAATATAGTCTTTCCACTTCAATATCAGCTGAGAATGTGAGCCCAGGAAGGCTCAATAAGTCACTTTCCTGGAGGAAAGTCCAAGAAAAGATTGGTTTGGTTTTATTTGTTTTACAGCATGTCAATGTCACTGGGTTATTTAATGATGACAAGATTTTTTGGATAGGTTTGTATGAATAGAGTATGTATTCTTTAGTTTAGATTGGTTCGGTTTATTTTGTTTTACGGCAAATCAACCTCAATGGGTTATTTAATGCCAGCAACATTTTACAGATAGATTCATATGAATAGAATATGTATTCTTTAGTTTAGATTGGTTTGGTTTATTTTGTTTTCCGGCATATCAACCTCAATGGGTTATTTAATGCCAGCAACATTTTACGGATAGATTCGTATGAATAGAATATGTATTCTTTGTAAGGAATCAGTTTGTAGATCAGCTTTCATTGATGTATTTTTTTAAAGAGGGTTTTTTGTTGAGAGTCAAAAGTATTTTTCAGAAATGTATTGCAGGTATTTTTACTATAAAAATCTATTTTTATACTTTCATAGTGTGTTCACCCCTGATTGGAGGTTTAATTATTTGACCATAGCTGGGATTCTAGCAGGTGATACTGCCTCAGATCAGAGTGGAACAACAGCAATTAAAAAGTAGTTTCATGCTCCGAAAAACCTCCCAATCAGAGACCTTGTTGCTGGATATAGTTTTGCATCATACCAAGTATGGTGCAAGAAAAGAAGTCATCAGAATAGAAAATATAGACTTTAAACAAAATGGCGACAATATTTAAAAAAAAGAAAATATCAGTTTAAACTGACATAAGAAAAGATATGCTTTAACATGTAGATAGATTCCTCAAAGACAGATGACTCAGTGGATAAAAGTATTGGTTGAATCCAGTGAATTGACCTAAAGTGTAGTGAATTCAATACCTTTTGACAGCAGAAGTGAACAAAAACTTGGAGAATTGAGTTAAAAGGGAGATAACTGATAATGAGACATCTGGAAGAGGCATGGCATGTTGAACGAGAACAATCTACTCCATAGAATGAAATAAATGGTTTACACTATTTATATTATTCGGACTATTGTCCTCATCTTTGTCGCCATATTTATTACAATGTTTCAGCCATTGTGTGCTCTGGCCTTCTTCAAGTGGCTGGAATGTCGAACTTAACCCTTTATTTCGCTCAATGGGGTAGACTATCCTTGTCTTTATCCACTGTGCCATGTGTCCTTGAGGACACATGGCACAGTAGATAAAGATGTTAGTTAGATCCAGTGACAGGACCCAAAGTGTGTGAGTTCAATACCTGGTTAAGGCAGTGGAGAACTTAACAGGAGATAACTGATAACTGACATCCATTAAGCATGGCATGTGGAACTAGAACAGTCTATCCCAGTGACTGAAATAAAGGGTTCAATTCAACATTCCAACCACCTGAAGAAGGCCAGAGCATACAACAGCCGAAACATTGTAATAAATATGGCAACAAAGATGAGGACAATAGTCTGAATAATGTAAATAGTGTACATAATACCTCATCTCAGAAATATAGACAGATAATAAATGGTTTAGTTTAAAATTCCAATCACATGAAGAAGGCTGAGAGTGTACAAGATGCAAAATGTTGTGAATATGGCAACAAAGATGAAGACAAGAGTCCAAATAGTGTAAATAAATTCTCTTCCGTATCATGTTTTCTCTTCCTTTTTGCTTTAGATTTTTCTCTTTTAATTAATTCATTGAATGTATGGTGGCCTGAAAGTAATAAAAGGTAGGAAAGAATTTACTCTGATTACTGATATTTTTATATGACCTGGGGACAGCAAAGGTGATACTGTTACGATGTTGGTGGGGAGAAAATGTTAAATTTGGGTTATTGATATGATGCTTCAATGGTCAAGAATCAGACTGTAAATAAATATTGTCATGGCAAAAAAAAAAAAAATGCTTTCACCTAATCTCTCTCCCCTTTTTATCTTATTATTTCTTTCTTTACACTTTTGTTCTTCCTTCTCCAGCCCTTCATTCTTTCTTTCTTTCTTTCTTTTAGATAAAGTGAGCTTAGTTCTGTTGTTTCATGTCTCTTCTTCATCTGTGAGGAGACTGTCTTATTCAATGCCATATAGGAGAACTGAGGCATCATGAAACCAAAAATAATAGATTGATCTAATTTTTTACAGCTTATCAACCCTTTGTAGGTTATTTAAAGTCAAAACATAAATTGGATAGTAGAAGTTTGCTTACAGTATACAGTGTTCTCAAGTGGTTCCCCATCTAAGTACCAACTGGGCTCAGTATTGCTTAACTTCAGTGATTGAACAGGAACCAGTGTTTTCAGGGTGAACCAATAAGAAGATACATCAGTGCAAGAAATAAAGTCTAGGAAAACATTTGAAAAACTGAAAAAAAAAAAAATTAAGGATTCCTCAAAGAAACAAGGAATAGTTAATGGTCACATATTTTGGCTCAAGTACAACAGGAAAGTTTTAAGAGAAATAGAAACTACAATAAAATACACTTACAAACAGAAAGAGACTAATTAAATTTAAGGCACACATCATGAGGAAAGAAGGCCTGGAGAATCTAACACTCACAGGGCATAGTAAAAGCAAGAGAATCAAGAGGAAACAATACATACTTAAGTTTGAGGGAATGAATGGCAGAATGGGTACAAAATGATAAAGTGTTAAAAGTTATATCTATGTGTCTGAGATGAAGTACTGTAACTATTTACTTTGTTTGGACTGTTGTCCTCTTCTTTGTTGTCATATTCACAATGTTTCACCTGTTGTACGCTCCAGACTTCTTCAGGTAATATACACTGGAATTTTGAACCGAACACTTTATTTAATTCACTCGGGTTTTAGTCATTTGCATTTAGTAACTGAACTCTCCAAGTTTTCATTCTCTCTGCTGTGGCCAGGAATTGAACTTACAACTCTTTGGATTAGTCAAGTTACTGGATTATTTCAACCAATGCTTTTATCCACTGGGTCACATGTCCTTGAAAATAAAAGCATTGGTTGAAGTAATCCAGTGACCCAAAGAGTTGTGAGTTCAATAACTGGCCACAGCAGCGGTGAACAAAGAGAGTTCAGTTACTAAAAAAGGTAAATAATTGATACTTAGATATCTGGAAGAAGTATAACATGTGGAAGTAGAACAATCAACCCCGGTGAACAAAATAAATTTCAGTTCAAAATTCCAATGTATATCACCTGAAGAAGGCCGGAGCATATAACAGTTGAAACGTCGTGAAAATGACAACAAAGATGAGGACAACATTCTGAACAATGTAAATAGGGTAAATTGTTAAAAGTAAGTAAAGTCAGGAAATTGTGGAGAGTTATGGTCACCTAAATCTTGAAGAGAAACTGATGAAAGCCAATAGGAAATGAAAAATAGAAGGTAGAGAAAAGAGAAAAAAACATAAATATTAATGCGAAGGACAGCACCCAACCATGTCTGTTACTGTTCTCTCGGTGGAACGGAAGTATCAGGTATTGGTTTCGGAAAAAGAAAAGTGTTTTGGGAGTCTTCCAGTTTACCAGACACAGAGGGAAAAAGAGTTGCTTCTCTGATGATTTAAATATTGATGAAGACAGTGGAGTGGGAAAACAGTTTCATGATAGCAGTTGAAAGGCTTTGCTCAGCTGGAAAACATAAAAATGAATAAGAAAAGCAAGACAGAAATTCTTGTCTGCAAGTGAAATAATCCAATAATAGTGAAATTGAAGATACAGTGCAAAGCAGAGATAAACATATAAGAATAGACATTTATGTTTGAACAGAAAATGGTAAAAATTCTGTTCAGCGATCTCGTTGCACATTAACATCTCTATGTGCAAATGGATGTGTGAGTGACGCAATGGTAGTGCCTTAGAACAAAAAATCAGTGCTCCAAATTGAATGCATTCCATGGTCATATTAGGATTGAAACTGTGAAAAAATCTTTGGACATTTTAATCAGAATTTCCATCTTGATATACAACATCTTAAATCTGAAAAATATAATAAACAGACATTATCAGTTGATGGATTCTTGCTGCTTAAATACACCTATATATATATATATATATATATATATATATATATTTAATCATATCACCCCTAGCAAGACAGGAGTACCACTAGTACACAGGGGGTTACAGAGAGTGAAAGTGAGAGAAAAGACTGTGTATAATGGGGATTGAGGAAAGTATAAAAGATGAATGGGGTTCAAGTCAATAAAAGATGGCGTTTAATGTTGCATTTAAATTTTTGAAGTTATCAGTGAAGTAAGAAAGCAGAAGTGAGTTCCACTTTTGGAAAGGGCAAGTTTTGTGATGTCAACGAACACTCGTTGCCACTTTTGTAATGTCAATGAATACTTGTTGTCACTTTTGTAATGCTCATTGTAGTAGAGACTTTGTTTATTGCAGATACAACTATAGTAATGCTGTTGAACAATACTGGTGTCAGACGCCTTCAAATAACACTCGCACTAATAGTACTTGCTCGATAATACTCGCTCGAATAGTAACCACCAAATAGTGATCTGAATAATAATCTGTATAGCGATCACATAGCCACCATGCTAATTCTCATATATACATTTCCTTTACTATCAGGTGATCTACTTATTCAAAATGGGATTGCCTGTGTTTACTCTCCGGTGATCTGTGTTCAAACTCCAGTGTTGGCAGCGACAATTTATTCCTATATAACAGTGAGAAAATAAACTGTTGAAATAGTTAAATATAACCACCATTTCTACATCAAGAGTAAAATGGTGGGACCTAGATGCCAATTTAGTAGCATGCTTAAATGCATGTAGTCAGGTCACCAGGGTAAAAAGCTCATCAGAGCAGTTACCATGAAAATATTTGTAGAAAAGCCATGTCATGGTGAGAAAGTGACTGAAGGCAAGATGCCTGATTAGTAACAATTATATTGCAGATTCTTCTTTGGATTTTGTCAAGAATCTTGAGATGAACAACAGTGGCACCAGAGCAGATATGACAACAGTATTTAATGCATGGGCAAATGGTGTATATATATAATAATAATAATAATAATAAATAATAGCTGCCACTCATCTACTAGGGTGGCTAGCTAAGCCCTATTGCAGACACTCAATACACACAGAGCCAACCTATGGTTTATACTCAAGCTATACTGAACAGACCTTAGTAACAGTTTCTGGAAGAAGACTTGTTATCTCGTGTGATCAACAATCTGAACAATGCCAGCACACTCAAACCCTTGTTCACAATGACTTGTGACCTTTGTGCTAGCACAGCTATTGATGGCCCCCAAGGGTTCCATCTATGTAAGGCTTGGGTCAATGCGCTGTATGGTTTTCAGGCAGTTTCCAAAGGTGCTGTATGCTGGGATCATCCCCACTCCAAACCAATAACATCAGGAAGTCTCCTTTCTGACAAATCAACCATGGTGAGATTCAAATCTGAGTCTTATGGTCAGAAAGTGAATGTTCTGTCCACTTGGCCATGTGCCCATATATATATATATATATATATATATATATATATATAAAATACAGAAAAGGTTAATTGTCAGAGTTAAATCAGACCAGGGAAAAGAAGTATTTAAAAAGTGCTCAATACACATCTGAAAAAACAAAAGTAACAATAACATGTAGAGCTTTTAACTTTCAATGTCTTGCTTACATATCAGAAAATTTTCCGTAAGTGCATATGGATAAAAAAAAAAGAATTATTTAACACCCCCACCAATACATTTACAATACACTTGGTTTTCTTCTCTTCCTCCTCCTTCTTCTTTCTTCTTCACAACCTCCTCCTCCCTTTCTATCACACCCAACATTGTGCATTTGTTTATTTATTTTTGGGAACAATAATATAGCATTTCTTAGTTTTTTAAAAAAATAAAAAAAAGTTAAGAGGTCATTTGATAAAAATCACCCGAGGATACCGTAAGGTTAAAAACCAAGGTAACAGACTCAACTGACGTCCTTATATATATATATATATATATATATATATGTGTGTGTGTGTGTGTGTGTAATTAATGTCTATTTGGGCAACAACCTTCCTTTAAACATTGCTGAATATGACGGACAAGGAAAATTTGATTAAATTTTTGTTTAGTTTCTCAAGCATTCTTAAATTTTTTTCATTTGATGGGAATAAGGGAGAGCAAAATTGTTTGTATTGTCCCTTTTCTCCAAGCGCTTCCATCCACTTCTGTAGACATTTGTGATTAATTTCTCTTCATGTTTGACTGTTTAAGGTGTGTTTTTGTGTTAGAATTCCTGTTTAGTCCAAGCTTTGCATGTTGAGTGTGGCTGCAATTCAAGTGAACATGATTCTATTTTTTTTAAAAACTTTCTGTTGTGAGCACTCCTCAGCCGCTAAACTCATTTTTACTACTTTGTTATTCTCAGTCACCACTTGTATGAGTGTTCACTTGTGCTTATGCAAATTATGCATACTAATTTGCTAGTATCACTACACTTTCAAAACACTATTCCCACTATTGAATAAGGTGAAACTGATATACATATATATATGTACATAGTTATGTGAAAAGAGGAAAAATTATTCCTCTGTGGTTTCTTAGTTGCCATTGATATGGAAAATGGCTTGGTGTAAATATGTTGCTGGTAGAGCCAGGAGTTGACTGATTTCTTGGGTTGGTTGGGTGAAGTCATAATTGGTGTCAGAAGAGAGGCCTGGAGCAGATTAGTGAAGCCAAGTGGGTAACATTGGTGGGTTTAATGTATGCCCATCTTCAGGGTTGAAATTGTCACCAGTGAGGTGTTTGATGATTTGGTGACCATGTGACAAGGCTAAAGGTTTGAAGCTGAACTGCCTTTTGTCAGCAAGTATTTTTATATGTTTGGTTCAACAGGTGTTGGCTCCCAGAGACATCCATTTTTTTCTGTTTGTGATTGGCTATTGCATTTCTTAATTTTTGCAGGATTTGTTTTATGGACTGGATGTGATGCTCAGAGCCCCTGCACAGGAAACAACATTTATTTTGTTTTTTGCTTCTCTTAGTGCTCACATCCAGCTGGCATGTCTGGTGAAATGTATTTATGAATCAGAAAGTGATCTTGATTAAGTAGTATAAAACATGCAAAATAAACACACCTTGATATACATATATGTTGATATGTATATAGTTATGTGAAAAGTGGCAAAAATTGTTCCTATGTGGTTCCTTAGTTGCCATTGATAAGGAAAAGCAATTAGGTGTAAAGATGTTATCAGTAAGGCCAGGAGTTGACTGATTTCGTGGGTTGCAGTTGGTGTCAAGAGAGAGGCCCGGAGCAGATTAGTGAAGTCAAGTGGGTATCGTTGGTGGATTTAGCATATA